TTTAGTATAAACATTTCATTGATGTAAACATTTGATTTTTAAACTTCAGGCACTAATCTCCTAGAAAAAATATGTACAATGATTCAAAATAAACTGAAATATTATCGTAGGTATCAAACATTAATCAAATACTAATAAATATTATACTATATAAATTATATTAGTGTTAGATTTATCAATTAAAATAGATTGTATTATAGTTATTTACCAGCCGACATGAAATATGGCACACGAAACATTCCAGAAAGAACATTGGCACGCAGTACTTTTAAAGTATTTCCATCAAACGGAAGAGAACCACAAACCAATACATACAATACTACACCCAAACTCTGTAAAAATATATTATGTTATTAGTTAAAATAAGTTATACGTAAAATGTAAAAATAATTACTACCCAAATATCAGCTTTTGGTCCATCATATTCTTGTCCTTGAAATAATTCTGGTGCTGCATAAGGAGGAGAACCACACCAAKTAGAAAGTAATTTTCCTTCATAAAAATGATTACTAAATCCAAAATCTAAGTGATTTAATAACAAAGTTAAATACTTTAAAAACAGACAATAATGCATGCTTGTATGTATTTACTATTTGTTAAATAAAAAACGATACCTGCAAGTTTAATATTGTTATCAGCATCTAAAAGCAAATTTTCTGCTTTTAAATCTCTATGAACTATATTTTTATTATGGCAATAGCTAACAGCTTCAACAATTTGTTTAAAAATATGACAAGCAGCAGGTTCATCCATTCTTCCTTTTTTTACCAGAAAATCTAAATTGAAATTGAAATATTATGTAATTAATCAATCTTATAAGATAAACTTAAAATAGCTCATTTAAATTATAAGTGGTCTAAAAATAAAGTTAACACATTGATATGATTGATTTTTAATATATTTAAGACAAAGGGGAGAAAACAGAGTAAGATTTTCTTATTTTATTTTAATTGAARGGTAAAAATATTATTATTTAATTAATTATTATTTTAATCAATCATTTAGATAACCATATAAATGTACACAGGGGCGGACTGGGAGATTGTCGGCCCAGGGGGAAATACAGCTTAGCGGMCCTAAATATTTTACTATATTATTACTATATCAATTGTGATTTTGTAAACAATATGAATGTTTATTGACTAAATATATTACAAGTTTATTGTTCGACAACCGGCCCAAATTTCATAATTTAGACCGGCCCAGGGAGATATTTCCCCCTAGCCACCCTGGCCAGTCCGCCCCTGAATGTACACCTTGTACTTGTAGATTAAAAAAAAAATTCTTTGCAAGTACAAGTATTAATCATTTAAACAAAGATTGGCAATACAAAATAGATCTAATTTAATATTGTAAAAGAAGTTTTTWAAATGTTAAAATGTTATTGTTTGGTTGAGTTCTAAGATGGTACAGTTTTACTAATCACTAATGATTGTGAACCACTAAAATATTTGCTTCAACCAGAATATAAAATAACAATGCTTTTGATAATTTAGCCAGGTTGTTCATAATGATAAATTTTTTGTAAAGCCAACTATAACAATAAATATATTTTGCACATCCCAGTTATTACCACATTAAATAAATTAGTATATATTATAATTTCATTTACCAAAAATTTCTCCTCCAGCAGCATATTCAGTTACCAAATAAATCATTTTTTCAGTTTCCATAACCTGCAAGTTTGTACAACATTAGATTWAAAAAAAAATTCTCATTAAAAGTACATAAAACAAATTTGTGACCAGGCAAGCAACGCACAGTAAGCGTTGGAAAACAATGCAAAGTGCATCGAAATCCCAGTCCTAATAATAATAATAATAATGCATTAATTTTATCACTGATAATCACACAAGATTTCGAGATGAGTATAAATTGTTGCTCAGCTACTAGAATCATTACATCCACTATCCAGTATTATTTTTTWGGTGTTGATAGTTTTATAGATGAGAATTATTTATCACTACTAATTACCAATATTTTTAGAAGGTAAGATGGTAGGTTGATATAAAAATTGATTGGATTGCAATTTAAAAGTACTTTTAATGTATTATTTTGGGTTTCTGAACACACTTACAAATTAATATTTCCACAATTTAAATTCTCATATTAACAAAATCATAAAAATCATAAGTAAAATATATACATTTAAATAATGGTAGTTGAATAATATGATGATATTTTGACAACAAAATTGTATAAACCAAAGTGTAATCGCTTAGTGAATAGTTTAGATGGCTAAAATAAGGACTCCACTTCAAATGTAAAAATTCTGGTTTTTTAATCATTTCACTTATTACAGGATATTTATTCATATATAATATCATACAAGTTTGGTCTTCTTATTTAAGTTTTAGTGAACCTATGTGTATAGTATAACCAGCTACACGGTAGAGTAAGGATGAATATATTTCAACGTTATAAAACATATGGTTTTTTTTTTTATCATTAGTTAACATAATGTATGACCAATGTCTTTATCAGCTGATTATTGTGTATACTGTAAATGATCATATATTATCATCAATAATATGAAAAATGTTTTATTTTTAAGATATTTTAGAAATCGCAATTGGTACTTTGAAAAATTTAAATGAAAAAAAAACAATGTAGGTAATATGGTGGAAAATTAAAAATTTTAAATATTAAGATATTATAATACCTTTGGTTGAGTTTTCAAAACCTCCTTGGCCACACTACCAGATGTTCAATAGAAAAAATGTAAAATACATTAAATATTTAATTAATATGCTAATAACATGTACCTATTTATTTACAGCACACAAATTGAAGTACTTTAGTTTTTTAGAACAATATTATGTGACTGATAATCATCAAATATTCAAAAATATAATATTAAAACCCTGACTTTTCTTCTTATGGTAGTTATTATAAATAAGATATATAATTTAAAATATTTAGACATTAACTAAAATCAATTTTCGCTATTGTTAAATGTATTTAAACCTTGATTCTAATAGTTAAACTAGGCAACTATAAAACTATATACTACTTATATATTCCACTTAGTAAAAATTAAAAAAAAATTATATGAAACAATCAATACCTGAAATAATCTTACAATATGTGGATGATTAAGTTTGGACATTATTTGAATTTCCCTAAATATTTTTTTCAAATTATCCTCATTTAATTGTGTCTTGTCAATTATTTTAATGGCAACCTGAAACAAAAATAATAAGTAGCCAGTTTAGTAGTTTTATTAGTATACACTACACACATATTAAATGAAACTAAATATATATAAGATCAGGGCTGATTGGTCCAGTGAGTTACTGAGTAACTCAGAGGGCTACAACAATTTTGAGCCTTCAAAATTACAAAGAGTTGCTGACTGAAAATATTTTAAGAGTTAAAAGTTGAAGAAATAGAGACTAAATGATGGATTAAAAAAAAAATTGGGTTAAGTTCTGTAAAAGTACAGAAAACTTAGTAGACTGAATTTGTCCTATCTGGCCTTGTATAGGAAGAACTGTAGTATTTTCATAGAAGTGGCAATACCTTCCATGCAGCCTTATACATAAGATATCATGATAAATTATAACTCTCAATACAACATTTTTATTATTGTAAATGAGAATATCAACTATTTTTTTTTCTTTTCTATTACCTATATTACAGTCATCTTTTTATTATTTTCAGATTGTAGAAATCAAGGTAAAAATAGAAAAAATTATGTGATATCATTTTTTTGTATTTTTGTTTTTAATTTGATGCTCAATAAATTCAAATAAAAAAATGAAAATAAGATTCTAAGCAAAGTATTGTTTTAATAATAAATTGAATAAATTGCAAATAGTGAATTTTTGCAAGAAGAACAATGAATTATGCTAAATTATTAAAATGTAGAGATAATAATAATAATAATATTATGAATAATGATTTTGCCAAATGAAATTGTTCTTAATCATTAAATTAAACTATTATTTTATCTGATACTTTAAATGGAATGAAGAGGTCAGCATCTTCAGGTTTTATTTTTTTATTGTTATCATTATGAAACCAAATGAAATATTCAAGTACAAGTAAACATTAACGGGACTATTATATTATTTATGCAACTTTGCTATTAATATATATTGTTATTTATCATGTATAATTGGACATCGCAGTAAACATTAAATATACAATGTTGTGTTTTTTTATACGTCATATATATAATGTTACCTATAATTTTTATGAAATATGCTGTTGGAAGACAATACATATGTATTATAGATTATGATAATGAAAACAATTGAAAGAAAAAAAAATACATTTTAATTTGTTAGGTTAAAAAAAATGTTTAATCTTCAAATCGCATTGTAAATGAATGAAAAAACTTTAGAAATAACTTTATACACCTAACTAATGCTTGACATATTATTTATAATTGTATTTCATATTTAAAAATAAAATGGAAATAAATTTAGCTTCTTCCACATAAATATACACATTTCTGTATGATACCATTTACAAAATTTTTCAAAAAATAATATTACTAGGAATATATCAAAATTCATTTCATTTTTAAATTAAATAGTAGGTAATATTATTTTTATTCATACATATTGAACCATGCCGTTATTTTCAATATTCAAAACCTTCATTTAGGTGAATGACTATCAAGAATCATTATATTATAAACTTATAAACATTTGATTTAATTGTTTAAACTAATTAAGAGATAGATAATTAAATAAACAAAAGTATCTTTTTGAACAACCTATTTATTTTAGGTTAGTTTCAATATTAGGTTAATTTGGTWATAGGTATGACTGAATAGCAAATGAGCACTTACTAAAATATATTTAAAAAAATTGCAATGCACCTACCTATTTTGGTATTACAATACAATTTATAAATTTAATATAAAAATATTTTTAAATTGTTTAAATGCTTAAGCTTAATTTTAAACTTGTCATAAAAATGTTGATTGATTATAATTTATAAGTTCCTAATACAAAAATAGAAAGCTCATATTTTCCAATACTCATAAAAAATCCAATACTAAGGTCAGTAGTTTGATAAAAAAAATAATAATAATAATAAAACCAAAGGTTAAGGTAATCCATACGTAATCATCTAATAATCAAACTAAAAAATAGTTTACCTATCTATTATACATTTACACAAGAGAAAAATACTGTACTATTGTATTTTACAGTATTTTAACATTGAAAATATATAAATATACTGCTGTAAGTACTTAGAAGTTAGAACTGATTACAATTATTATTTATTACAGTTAACTATTAACTACACTAAATTATAATCATGATTATTAGATATTAACTATACAATAAAATATATAATTATTATAATTCCAGAATGAATTTAAAAGCCATTACATATGGCTTACTAAGAGATAATTTACAAAATACATTAATGTACTGTTAGAGACCTAGTTATATATTGAATATAAGGATTTTGCATATTAATCACATTTTATCATACGCTACCATAACTAGTGAGATATTAATCTGATAAAAATTACAGCTAGGTACCTATAACTGTATACTTGCATATTTTACGCATCTCAGTATTTATTTTATACAAAAGTACTACCTATACTCTATAGTTTATGGTTATTGATTACACACATATAAAATATTTCTTTGAATATGAATATATTTTATATTTTCTAATTTCTAATCTTATTTTTTTTTTCTAAATAAATACTTAAGTATAAGTTTACAAATAACATCATATTTTCTTTCCATCATTTTATGCATATAAATGTACAATACCAACACATTCTTTCAGATATTTCTATCAATAAAATATAAACATTTTTTAATATTTTTTACAATATTAATTTCATAACTATTTAAACCTATCAAATATATTTTATATCAAAAAATATTTGATTAAATAAATGTACTAAACAATATCATCATAAGTTAAAAATTATTTTAATTGTATGGCAGGAATAGTTCAAGTTATTTGTAAAACTATTTAAGAGGACACCACAACTGTATGTGTTGTCTCCTTTGTACAAGTGTGTAGCATAGCAAATTTTAGTCTCAGCAGATTATGTTTAGCTCCATTAGTTTAAAATTTAGAATGAATTGACCAATTATAAAAATTAAAGGCAAGATTATTATCTAGGGCATCTTATGGGCTTTTTATATTTCAATTTAAAAGTGAGTTAAGAGTAATTTAAAATTGTAAATTATTTGTATATTTAAGATATTCATTACTCGCTTTAAAATTGAAATATAATAAAAAGCCCATGAGATTCCCTAAATAATAATCTTGCCTTTAATTTTTATAATAAGTCAATTCATTCTAAATATTAAACTAACGGAGCTAAACATGATCTGCTGAGCGTAAAATCTGCTATGCTTCACACTTGAACGACGAAGACAACACATGTGGGAGTGGCGTCCTCATAAATCAGGTATGTTTTGATTAATTAAGAAAGTGATTTGATTATGATGGATATATTATTTAAATAAAGAATTAAATATCCAAACAAGGAGCCACATAAAAAATAAGAAATTCATATTATATCTACTGTATTATTAGTAAATGAAATTGCCAATAATGTAATTATATATTTATTTATTYATTGTTTACAACAACTGTTTTATACTTGAATGTTGAATAGATATAACTAAAAATTTTATTTATTGAAAAAAAAAGTTAGTTTTCGACTTTTATATAGTTCAATTYGAGGTTCAATTAGATATACCAATGTTTAATCAGAATATAAATTTAACATACTTGAATAATTAAAAGAAGTTAGCTAAATAATTACATTTTTAAGAGGGTATATAATTGACAAACACTGGATACTATTATGTTAGACTCCACATACAATTAAAGAGGTTAAAAGTAACTTAATTAACTTAATGTTATTAAAAAAAAAGTATAGCACCAAGTATAGTATTTACACCAAAGGAAAAAAAAAATGGATGGGTAATGTATTAGTAAAGCCCTTAAAATTTTTTTTTTTTTTAGAGCCAGAATTAAAGCTACAATAGAATCCAAAATGAGTATAAAATGAAGACATGCATTGTTTAATGATATTAACGTTATTCCTAAATTCTATTAAAAAAATTTACACCTTTAGGAAAGCTAGGTATTGTACACCTGTGTCTTAAGCCTGATCAATATCTTATGTAATATTGATAAATATTTAACTCATTCGGGCAATGCTAACAATTTTAAATATAAATTATCTATAGAATAGAATACACATAATATGTTGATATCACGATTAAAAGAAAATATACTTAATTTTGATTATTTCATTTTTGCATCTAAAGASACTTTTTTTTGTAGAATAAACACTTTGATCATCAACTTTGATGAAGGTTTAGGGAAGCAAAGTAGATCTAATTGGTAATTTAGGGAGGTCAACATTGAAAATGTACAGTACTTTTAATATAATCGTGGGGGAGGGGATATGTTAAAATGTTAATATTATTAAAATATTTGGTAACCTTGATTAACAAAAGGTTAAACCGTTTTTCCACATTATTGTTTTTCATTTTTGATAGTAAGACTATATATTAAGTATAGTAATTTATACTATTCAATAGTGAGATATACATGACTCTAATAGTACAACATAGCAGCTACCTACTTCATCCATTTAAACATTTAAAACTAAGTGATATTATATATACCTAATTGATAAGTTTTAAAAATGTAATTCATTATGTTACTAAAACATAATAAAGTTCAATTATTTGATTTATAAATTAATTAATTGTGATCAAAATTATAAAATATCAGACATTAAATATTTGAACCACAATACATTGAATTTAACAAATTATATAAGTAAGTGATCAGGCTTTTACCCAAGAAATAACTTTACCAATTTCACTAACCTTACCATTATTATAATGTTACAATGTATTACATATGTGCTTATTGTTAAATAATAATGAAAAAAACAAAACACTCAGAAAGCAAATTGTTTTAAGCTGGTAAATTGTCTATTATAATTATTAAGCACAGAGGCGGTTTGAATGTATTATACTTAGTGGTGCAAGACAATACATATACAACCCCCCCACCATCATAGAAATTACAAATAAATATTTTTTTATAAGTTTATAGTTTATAAGGCCCTTATATTTTTAACTCTACGCTTTCAACAGTTTCAGCCACGATTATCATTTATCAAATGTCATTGATTAGGTACTTTATTCATTTATTGAACATTAAAATTAAACATTTCGGTCAGCACATGCTCAACCAAGACCACCCCCCCCCAACATTGGTGGTGCAGTGCACCAAAAACAGTATACTCAAACCGCTTCTGATTAAGCATATGATTTATAAGTTAAACTACCTTTTAAAACACTATTTAGTGATGAATTAGTATCATAGTATTAAAACATTAATGATATATATATATGTAAGTACCTACTTATAATGTTAAGTAAACTAAATAAAATATCCTAGGTTATGAGTATAAAAATATAAAAATAATTTTAAAATAACAATCACTAAATTTTACTCTATTTCAATGATTGTTTTTAGCAATAAAACTTAATCATTGAAAGGACAAATATCAAAAAAGTAGACGTACCTTGATAATCATTATGTGAGAGTTTAAATGAAAAATAAATTAATTTGTAAAAAAAACTTTGGTTTAAAATATTTAGAAGTTATTTGAGCTGACATAAAAAGTTAAATTAATTTTAAATCAAGTACCTATATTAAATGTAATATTAATTTGAATTAATTTAACTTTCGAGGATTTCAATTATAAAACATTAAACAATTTTTTATGATCATAGATACCTGCATAGTAGGTATGTTAATTATACAGATAAACACTTTTTTTTTACATCAAGACAAATAGGTACATTTTGAGATGTAAATAACAAAAAAAAAAAAATGACTGGATTATATTAGATAAAATATATATTGATAAGTATTTTTTTATGTATTTATTTACATTAAATTAAATATTTTTTGTTAGAGATTAGGTAGTTAAGCTGAAGTAAGAATAGAAACATCAGTCACAACAGAATATAAAACTTCAAGTAATTAGGAAAGTATTAAAATAAAAAAAACAAATTACAGCTACATATCCATCTGCCTATAAATGTAAAATGATAATTGCCAATAAAAATGTAATCAACACAATTGTTAAGACGTATCTCTCAATTCATTTTCCAGGAATAGGTAGACAGCACTTACCTTGGAGTTTGTGACAACATGTTTGGCCAGCTTGACAACAGCGAAATTGCCTTTGCCAATGGTCTTTTCCAGCTCGTAGTATCCAACACGCACCAGACGATTGACCAATGGGTTGTCATGTCCGGTTGACAGATGTGGTGGCACTCGAGCCATGGTGTTTGCATAGCTTAAATAACGATGCCTAGGTTTAATTACGATTTACGATTTGTTGACAATCGTCGACAGATTTATTGCTATTAAACGCCCGGRCGGAGACTCAGCCAACCGAATGTCCACTACTACATGGCCGTGCGACGAGTAGCAACAACAATAGCGTCGAACGTAATTTAATGACAGTGGCACGGACAAGACGTCGACGGCAACGACCACTTACTGTAGTCTGTAGTGGCGGTAACCGTCACCATACCGGACTCGACCTTTTGGGCAACTGAGTAACTGACGGCGGCGCGCGCGACACCGTGTGGACGACAAGTTGTCGGGCTTTCGTCGGCGGTGGGTGGGTGGGTTGGTGGGCGGTTTGGCGGTCGGCAGGGAGAGGGGACGACGAGGGCGCTCGTCAGACTTTGGTTTTACGCGGGCCCGCCGAGGGCTTACATAATAATATCAATATCGTCGACGAAAACTACAACTGCGGCTGCGAATTACACAACGTCGACAGCCGTTTCAGCTAAATTTCGTTTTCGTCGTCGTTAATTTTAATGAATAATAATAATAATAATAATAATATTACAATAACGACACGAGATTTGTGCTGTTGCGATTTTGTTGATAATGTTTTTTTTTTTCTCTATCCTCTCTCCGTTTGTTAATTCAACGCGCAATATTAATCAGACGGCGGGTGCGACTAGATCCCCCAGCCAACACGAACGAAAACAAAAACACTCGTCGGCCGTCGCACTCGACAGTTGTATTACTATTATTATTATTATTATTTGTGTTGTTATTACGTACAATAATATTGTATTATTGTTTTTTATATAATTTGTTCATATTATTATGATACACCACAACACACGTAATATGACATGTACGTATTATTTTCAAAAAATATTTAACATCATAGGTATAGAAAGGTGTTATTGTGGTGCTGTCCTGCTGCAAACGTTTAATAAACGGATGCAATGCACGACAGGTTGGTGGGCGGTGAACGGCCGAGACCTCGTCCTCGGCTAAAGTTTATTATTATTATTATTATTTTTTATTTTATCGTCGTCCGCGGCGGCCACTCGAGTTCGATTCAGTACTCAGTACGGCCTAGCCCGTCACTGTCAAACGAGATATTTTTCAATTTTTTTTTTCGTTCTCTCTACCGCTCCCACACCAGCCCAGGGAACGACTAGTAATTTCTCATTCACTCACTCTTTTTCTCTCTCGCCTCCCAACGAACACAGATAAAATTCAAAATCCCGACTACCCGAGACGTCGTCGCATGTCCTAAGCCGGCAATATGACAATCATTTTAATATTGTGACGACGACGCGTTTTCAGTGCACGTGCACGCGCACATCGCAATGTCGTGCCCTATAATAGTTATAATATTCAAAATTCAAGTATGAGGTAGTAATTCGATTAATACGGCGAACGAGTATGTGGTGGGGAGAAGTCGAAACTATGCGATACGTCATTGTTATCTGTAAAACAAAAACATGATAATCATGGTGAGCTGATGTGGTCTGTGGAGGCGGGTGGTGGCGGTGGACGCGGCGCCGTAGAAAACCAGAAAACCAACAGATATCCAACTCCACCGTCCACACCGGCGGCGCTGCACTACCGGTTAATATACCATGGTTGCTGTGCTGTACAATGTTGCAGTGTTAATGTACGGCGTCGTGGAGCATCGTCGGTGGGGGATGTGACGTCCACGGTGCAGACCCAACGACCACAACATAGCTGCATAACTTACTGTAACTCACTCATGTACATCATGTTCACGTACAACACGACAACTGTGGTCATTACACTGTTATCATTACGTCCTTGGGCGGACGTGGTGTACAAGTGACGTTTGATACTAGCAATTGATAACCTATGCATTCGGTGACAAAACGTCGCGCTTGGACATTTAATGAGATAACGCTACCCGTAAACACACCGTGTCGGTGATACAGCAAAACTCGATCAGCTGATTGGGGTCGCTTCTCGCTTGTAGCTATTTGAAAATTTAGTCGTTGACGTTTACTCGTTTGGTGATTTTGTGTTTCTTTACAGCTTGTCGTCGTCCAGCCTCCAGCGTTCTGTTCCTGCATCTTTGGATCTTCTTCCGCACGCCTTGTCGGTAACCATTGGATTTATATAAACTCGTCGTCCTTTTTTTCTACCGTTTCACTTGTCAGTCTCTCGGCCCAGGGCACACGGCATTCTTGATATTTTTGCGTTACACTCTTATTTCATTCTATTACGAACAGCCGAAAAACCAGTGGCCACCGACTACCGACCACCTTACACGACCATAGGTACGTCCCAGTTACGTGATATCGATTTGTCGTCGTCGGCGCCCATTACGCTTATGTCGTTACTGGCGATTTCCCGTTTCGTATGATCAAATGCTCTACACTCGTTTAGAACATTTGGCCAACAGTAAGCTAACCATAACAACAATAGTTGTTGCTACACCCGTTCACCAATAAGCATGGCGGATCGTCCATTTGTATAGCTCCGCTTTTATGTTGTTATCATATCGTCTATTCACTCATATTATTTACTCAATGGTCCGCCCATAAACTCTGACATTTGTTGACATTGATTTTGTGTCTTTATGGATCAATGCAACCTTTATACAATCCACGGACAGCTGTCTTGTATCAAAACTCTAATAAATAAAGTAATAACTGAAGTTGCCTTTGACGTTTTAAACATACTTGTATTTTACCCGTACCAGTTTGAAAAGTTAAAGTTTTATGAGAGTCACAATTAGCTGAGTTAAACCAGAGCCTGATTCATCAAATATATGGCCCAGGACAACATACAAAAATTGTATATACATACAATTACATCCCTTCACTTATTTTGTCTAAAATAAGAATCCTCCTATAATGATTATATGCAAATATTATCGATTTATAATTTATATTGGTTTTTTTTATCATAAAAATTGTATTTTTTACGATGGATTTTAGTTTTACAATTATAAAATCTTGTTTTTTTGTATTTTTAGATTAAGTATCTTTAACCCATTTAAATTGGACCACTTGGCATCTAAATCTAATATATCTAAATGTCATTCATTATAATCTTATGTTTCAAATTGATGAAATTGTTTTGTTCCAAAAACATTTAATTGATTTTTGTATCAAATTTTGGAAGAATGTTCCTACATTATGCTATTTAATTAATATAATTTTATATTGTTTAATATTTATTTTGTTAACAAATATCAATATAAAAATTCAAAAAGAATGTTTAATAATTTGTATCTGAGTTATTACAATTATATCTTTTATTGTATTGTTTTGATTTACTACTCAACTAAAATTAATTATAATTAAATCTCGTAATTCAATTTACATCAATAGACAATTGCTATACTCATTAGTTATTAGTTTATTATTACAAAACCTGTATGCATAAAAGTCACAATCTTAAATTATTTTTTTCATAATACTAAGTTTTTCAATATAAATGTCATTCCTCATTAATCATTCATCATCAATTAGAAAGTTACTAATATATCATTATAGACAATAGATTTTAATACATTAATAAATTTTATGTTTTTATACTTACTATACATACTGTATAATGCTTACTTTTAGAACCTACTGATAAACTTTATGCAGGTAAATTATTATAATATATTTATAAATATATATGTAAATATGTTTAACGTTTTAAATAGAAATAAATATATATATATATATAAAAATGTAAATGTATCAACAATTCAGACACCAAACTGAAAAACATAATATACTCGATAATATATTAATATAAATATATATACAATTGTAGAAATAAGGTTTCAATAACAATTATAATAAGGGTTAACTCCAATCAACCCTGTGTGTAAACCATAATAGTACAATAATTAATAACATAATAAAAAATTATGCATCCCTCTACTTATTTTGAGCCAATTCGACTCCTGATGATCAGACAGCATCGTATTGATTACATTTTCAATGTTTTCATTAATTTATGAATGCATGGGTTCATTATTATCAATAATATTATTGTTCATGATTTCAATAAAAATTTGTAAATTCAGCTTATGGAATGTATACTCAGTTCAATGAAAAAACACTTGTGCCGCCTGGCAAAAATTGGTTTAGTTTGCACTTGGTTTGCCCCACCGTCAGCCACCCATTTTATGCACTGGTTGTAGTATTGTTGTATTTAATATGTATGTAGGTAACAACTATTTTTATTTTTATATTGTTAAGATTATTATAAATTCACAGATAACTTTTTACTGGTAAATAATATAACTCGATCAATGAGAAAGTGAGTAAGTTTCTGTGGAATTAAAACCATCTAAACAGTGTTGGCAAATTACTTTTGAAAAGTAACAAAATTATGTTACTATCGTCTATCATTACATTAAATATTTTTATTTAAATTACAATACAATAGTATTGTATACATATATTATATAATACACTTTATATTATTTTTATTATGTTACGTTACTTTTTCATTTCTAAAGTAAGGTGTTAAAAATAAAGTTACTTTTTTTATATAAATCAGTTTTAAAAAAATCAGTCCATAATGACTAAGAAGTTGGTATTCTTCTTTTCCTTCGCCTTCTCTACCAACTATTTGGGGTCGGCCGCCCTGCTCCTCAATTTCCACTTACTACGATCCTTAAAATCCTTTTTACAAACACCAGTCATTCTCATATCATAGTCTCTATATTCTTATGATTAAGAAGTCGGTTTACTATAAATAATAATTATATATAACATGTATAACTTATTTTAATGACGTCGAAAATATCACTGCTACATAGAAATTACTTTTAAAAAGTAATTTTGTTACACTCATTTATAATTTATATTATGTTACTGCCCAAAATTTTCGACATTACAATGAATCTTGTTTTACCATTTCCTTGGTTGGCAAGTTGTCATAAATAAGCCATACTCAGCAGTGCCAGATTAAGACCAACCATAGCTCTAAGCAAATATTTTGTTATAGCCCATTGTAAAAAAAAAAAAAAAAATTATAAAATGTTAAGATTTATTTAATTTACAAATTTTTCCTTGCTTTTTTAGAGCTGAAGTAATTTATAACATTATTTAAATCAATAGCATTTAATAATTCATTTTCAATATTCACTAGAAGTCTAGAACATAGGAATAGAAGATTGTAATTAATTTTTTACCCGTTTTAAGACTGGAGAATGCCCGTTCAGAGGCATTTAATCTAATGTGGGTTCAACTACCATAGTGCCACTATGAAAACAATATAGCTCCTCTGATGGCCGCTTTAATCTAGCCCTAGGCACGTGTCTACCTTACCAATAAGGCTATACATTAATCCAGCACTAATAATTAGTATAGGACTTTTATATAAGTAGTTTAACATTTTAATAACMCTGGACATTTTGCTAAACCAAAAATATTTGGAGTTCATTTTTTAATCCAATTTAATACTTTTAACAGTTATTAAATATATTTGTATGATAACTATAAAGCCATGGACTTTATACTTGCAGACTGGTCTAGCCTATATTGGTAATAGCATTTGTGCAATATGTGATCTACTGCATGGCAAATATCTACTATAATATATTTTACAAACTTTATAAAATAATTGTTACTTAATACGTATACGATTTGTTATTAAATTGCTTGTCAATAAATCATTATTTATTTATGAAATAAAATAGAACTAGGTACTTATATTAATCAAAAAATGTTCAATTGCACAATTCTGATCATTTAAATCTAACCATACACTATAATATTTTGTTTTAATTCTATAAAAATATCATAACATTCTTGTATTTGTTTATATTGACTACTCCAGGTATCAATTAAATTTTCATGTAAGATTTGGCAGCATCCTATAAAATATATTATACATTTTAATATAATAATAAATCTGCTGAAGGTAATTTTTTACTGATTCATTATATTATTTTGATTACATTATAATAATTTAATATAAACTGGCAATTAACATTTAACACTGTTATACAAATATACAATATCATATAATATTATGTGTAGCTTGATTATAATGCTATATAATAATTTAAAACTAAAAATGAGAAGCTTTTAATTATTTACACAAGTGCTATACATAAACTGTGTTTTGTGTATGATTAAATTATTTTATTTATTATTTATACTGGCCTATTTATTATTGACCTATAGGTGTCTCATTTTAAAATTTTAAGTTACTACAGTAGAACATTGATAAGTCAAAAATCTCAGCAAGTGAAAAAAATTGCATTCACTTGAATTTTGACTAATTGAGGTTTCACTACTGTCCGGGTAATTAACCATATTTTTTTAACGCACACTTCTGTATAAAATCTAATTCAATTAATTAATTTTTAAATCAGTTTTTTGTTCTAAATTAATTGATACTTTCACTATTCGTACCATGACTATACTCGTTGATTTAAAATTAGTTAATTGATCATCATTTTTTTTTGTTTTTTTTTTTTTTTTTTGGAACGTTGCTAGAATGTTTCTTGTCTTAAGAAGATATGATACCCGCATGTTTTGTCTCCATCTTACAAGAGCGCAGTGGCGAAGCTTGGGTTCGGGATTAGGCTAGACAAATTTAAAATAATATTTTTTAGAAAGAAATTATTTAAACAAAAAATAATAAAAAAATGTTGGCATAGGTACATTTATATATAAAAATATTCTGGACTCATTTTACATATATGAAGGAAAATACATTTACTTACATGAAAAGGTAGGTGCATTGGGGATGCAACTTACAGTCACCCGACGATAGGAAGCTTTCCTCACAGCTATGTCAGTGTCCTACTGTAAGTATTAAGAAACAGCCGAAACAGGGTACACTTTATCGCTCATTAGTCATTAGGTACCCTGTAAATATCTTATCTATCTTTTCAATTCTGTTTACAGGATATTAAACTAGACTAATCGATTGTAAATTTCTATGACTCAAAATTTATTTTTATTTATTTTATATATTGGTATTTTGCGCACGGCAAACACTAATTTTAAATATTTTCGGAATTGATCGATTTTTTTTATCACCATTCAACTAGTGTTGTAAACTCAAAATTGGCTAAATTAGAACTATAGCTGATATAATTTTGAAAATATATATTATTATATTTAATTTTTTTTTTTTAATTGTTGGTATTATTATTTATTTCCTTCTAAACACCATGATGTAATCAAAAGTATTATTATTAAGTAATAAACTATTTACTATTTATATAAATTGTTATTTCATTTTATTGTTACACATTATCAAATAACAACATTTAAACAAGTATTTTCAGGAAACAAAATTTTTAATTTTTATTTTTATTTGTTTAACAATTCTATAGATTTTTATTTACGATTTAATTTACAGAAATTACCGGGGAAATTAATTACATAAAATATTCAATAAAAAGTTAGATAACAAACATAGTAAGACAAATGTTCATTATTATTTTAATAGATACCTAATTATAATTCTGATTAAAAGAAAAATACACACAACTAGAAATAAAATAAATGTTCATATATTTAAATGTCGATTTGACTACATATGATTCTAGACAACGGAGTGACTTTAGAACAATTTATTGAAAAGCTTATGTTTGTAATTTCTGGAAATTAAACTGTAAATAAAAATCTATAGTATTGATAAATAAAATAAAATAGAAATTTAGAATTTTGTTCTGAACGGAACGATGAATGTATTGATTTTACAATGATGTGTTTTTTGATTATATATACGTGTTTCAAGTATTAGAAAAAATGCTTCGAATTTTAACTTTGAATGAATATATACATAATGGAAGATAATCTAATTGCACTTGGGGTTGGATAGTGAAATGTATACATGTTTTATTTCATCTACTATAGGTAACTAATAACTTTGAAAATAAATCATTAGATAATTGATATTGGCGATAAAATATCCAGGTTAAATAAATTGATGGTGACTACTGGCCAGTCAGTTGATACACGTACTAACAAGTCATCAAAACACACAATTCGCCTATAATATTTACCTCATTAAAGTACGCCTGACTCCTTAAAAATCATAATCA